TTGCTGCCAAGGCCAAATCTTCCTGCAACAAGTCTAGAGAAAAAAGTTGGAGTGGGATGAAAGCTTTCCTGTTGTCATCTGACGTGAGTCGTACCCAGCAAATTAAGTTTCTTCGACGTGCGTTGGACCCAGATGGTGCTATTGAGTTTACGGATTCTGTGACGCAAGCATCGACATCTATCAAGTTTGAATAGCAAATGGCAAAGCCTCGTGTGGCGCCTTTGAAGACTCTCACGGTTCCCAAATTGGAGTTGTGCGCTGCCTTGCTACTGGCCCAACTGATGCGGAACGTACGCAAAATGAATCTCTTCAATTGTTCGTTTTATTGCTGGTCGGATTCTGCTGAAACTTTATCATTGATAAGCTATGAACCTTCGCGCTTTCAAGTATTTGTTACTAATCGAATATCTTTCATTCAAGAGCTATTAGCGTCAGATTACCGACTGACTGCAATCCAGCCGACATTTTGTCAAGAGGAACTTGGTTCAGAGGCCCAGCGTTTCTTCTCGAGAATCGCAATGCGCAGCATCCTGTTATACTGTCACGCCAGCATCCAGTTATACGTGCCATTATACTGGACTTGCATCGGAAGAACTTGCATTCTGGTCCACGAGCGCTGCTCGCTCACATGCATTTTCAATGCTGGCAGCAACGGCCAAAGTGGCGCACTCCCAAACTACAACTCAACGAGGTCGTCTCCACTTTGCCTTCATTTAAATGGCCATTTGCCAGAGTCATGGAATTCGTGCCTGGATCCGATGGAGTTGCTCGTGTGGCAGTGATACGAACTTCAACTGGAATAACTCGAAGGGCTGTACGCAAGTTGTGCGTATTGCCGAAGCAGGATCTGGTTGAAAGCCCTAGTGTTCCAACGGGGGAGAATGTTCAGTCATGCCGCAGCTTAAAATTTTTACATTCTTTTTACTCCACCCGGGAGCTTAGAGCCTCTACAATTTCTTGTAGAGGATTCGTTATCATTGATTTTCGATCGTACCGGTGATAAGCCAGTAGCGACTTATCCTAGCGGTGGGGATGCCACCTGGCGCCATCTAGGAGTGACGAAAATTCTATTGTTGGGTCCATAGTAACGTGGACGAGGGGGTGTGCGGGTCCGGGGAGCCGAAATTTGTTACTAATGTTAAGTGAGCGATAGAGCATAGAAGTGGTGGAGATTTGGAAAAAGAGACCGTTTCTTTTTCTCGGGGAGCCTGGGGCTCGACTTGACCCCGGGCCTTCCGGACCGGAGGCCAGCGCTCTACCTGCTGGACCACCGTCCCCCCCCGCAGCTTAACTCGAATGATTAAATTTCAAAACATTTTTTTTTTTTTTTGATTTGAGCTTTATCTTTATTTAATGAATCTTCTCTTGAAGAGACTTACAATAAGAATTCAAATCTTAACTTATACTATATATTATTATTAGACCTCGGATAGTTATGCACGAAAAAAAGCCAAAATATGCATGCAAATATGCACGAAAAATATCAAAATATTCTCAAGAATATGCATTCAAAAATACAATAAAATATGAAAGAATCATGCAAAAAATAGTCATAATATGTTGGAAACGGCGGTTCTTTATTTAAAAGCTAAAGTTTTGCACAGATTTACATTAAACTTCGACAAATTTGGTGTGGTTTTGGTTAAAGATCCGATTTTAACGATTGCCTTCCCTGATCGGCATTTTCCTTCCTTCTATCTTTGGCAGCTTTGTGTTTCAATGATGCAATATGCTGATTTACTTGGAATATTTTTTTTCCTTGAACTGCACATTCACAATACGTACAAAATAAAACTGACCTATCAGTCCGAAATACTTTGGGGAAATCGACTTTCATTCGCAATATAAATTTGATTTGAAACAACCGATAACTTTGAATGCCACGAGACGAATGATAATTTAAGAATATAATAAAGCGTTAATTATGATTAGTCATTGAGAATTCATCAATAATAAGTTAAACAAAATAAACAACGTGAAAGTCAAATTATATGCACAATATGCATGCAACATGCATTTGCATGACTATCTGAGCTCTAATTATTATTTTATATTATTTATTTGTTATATTATGTTTTTTAATTGGTCGACAGCCCTCAATTGGGCGGTCGTTGCCCTGTAGACGAGAGTGGCTCCTGAGCCGCCTGAGCTGACTGGCTAGTTGGTTTGGATGTATTGATAGTCTATCTTGGTATTTCAAAACTCTACTATCAATTTCTTCTTTGACGGATTTTATATCCAAATCCCTATGAATATTTGCATTGCGAATATAACAGGAGGCCCCCGTTATTGTCCGCAGTATCTTCGACTGCTCTCGTTCGATGGTTTTAGACATTTTGAGCGACTGATTACACTGTGCGACAAAATTTAACAAAATCTTTGTTTAAGTTACTTTTTTGATTGTTTTCGGTTAAGGTGCACAAAAATATCTATGCCACCTTTTAAGTGATACGATTTCTTTTTTCATGGTAAATTTTATGAAATTATTATTATGAAAATAATTAACACAAAATATTATTTTTGTTTTTACTTTCAATAAACTTATATTTTTTTAAAAGTGAATTTTTTTCCTGATTTTTTTTTGCTTTTTCAGAGGTATCCCCGCGTAACAAGTTCCATACGTAGTCGCCCAGAGTATAGAGCTGGGAGAACAAAATTTTAAAGCATTGTGATAAAAGCCTAACGGTATATTTGCTTAATATGATACATTTTAATTAATAGATATTGAACTTGCATTCACGCTTATAACGGTGAAAAAATATTTTCCCAATATGTTATTATAAGGCTGTGAAATATGCAAAAACGCGCGTTTTTTGGGACATTTGAGTGTGCGTAAAAGCTGATTGGCAATTGATATTAACAAATCCACAAACCTATATTCTTATTTTGATCAGTAGAAGGGAAAAATAAGAAAAAATCAACTTAAACATTTTTTTGTCGCACAGTGTAATCGGACTCGGAGAGCCGGTATTGGACTTTTGCTTTTGAGCCAAACGACGAAGGGTTTTCGACTGCTGCTTACTGCCTTTCAAGTTTTTCTCTCGCCGATTTCGCTGCTCTCGCGAGATCACGTTAGTATCGAGGACCAACTTTTCCAACCTTCATTTTCCATCTAATTATTTTAATAATTCAATTAATAATAATTAATTATTGAATTAATAGAAATTTATCCTTTGTTATTTACTGTTTATATATTATATTTTGGCATAATGAGCAATGCGCTTTGCCACAGATTTATTAAAAATCATTACCTTATTAAAAATCTGAATTGAAGTTAAAAGTAGATCCGCAAAAATCTCTAAAAAATAGACGAGGTGTCAATAATGTAATCTTTTTATTATTTTATGACATATGTAATTCGAAAAAAATCGGACATAATGAAAATACGTGTAGTACCGGGTACATCAGTCTAGGCAAAGTGGTTACTCTAATTTTAATTCAGAAACATTTCGCACGCAACTTCGAGAAGATACAAATACAACTAAAATATAAAATTATATTTAAAGATAATCGAATCTTCTTTTTCGATACAAAATTCATAAAACATCGGATAGGGGCGCTTGCATTTAATTTTCACTTGATTCCCCGCATCTGACGGGATCCGAGATGTATGTTTCCAAAAGTCCGCCATAGTCGGAATGAACGCTTTGAATTGACGAGCTACCCCAAAGTTTATGGATTTAACTTGCTGCTGCAAAAATTTGAACATTATAAATACCTATAATGATTATAATGATGGCGCTTATTTATCTTATTACTTAAAATGCAAATAAACATCAATAAAAATATGGGCCTAAAATGGTAACGAGATGGTTTAAAAACAATTGAATTAAAAACAATAATGAAAATTAATTTTTATTTTCTTTTAATTTGAATTCTATATTTGCTACGACATTATTTTTTTTGTGTTACCAATATTTATAGGCTGCTATTTTAGTTATTTTTTATTGACATGCGCTTGCTGGGACGTCTGTCACGAAAAGCTTTCGATATTTAAGGAAAAAAATGAAAAAGTAAAAAAAGAAACAATAAAAATTTCACAATTTCAACATAATGTCTCCATTGACCAAAACCAAAACAAAAAACAAAAAAATAGTATTTGGCATTTTTCACTGATGATAGCAGAAAATACAGTAAAAATATTATTATTTTCTATCCATCGCCGACAATTATTAAATAAAATTAAAACTTTGCTAAATAGGAAACACTTTGATCGTACAACATACAACGAATCTTTCCAAGCTGCTCTGTTCTGTAAGTGTGTATCATGTCATTGCTGTCATATTAAATCTATATAAAATTAATATAACTTTATTATAACGTTAAAATGAACAGTTCTTTTTTATCACATAAGAATGGTTTTTTAGAGTTTCAAGCTTTTAAGCCTCGATTTAATAAACCAAAAACTATCAAGAAAAATACAATACCTGTCTACTCTACCATAATTCTGCCATGAAAAGATTGAACAAGAAAGGAAGCTACATAGCTTCGGCAGGCCGAATCTTATATACCCTTGCAGTCATTAAATATGTCGAACAAAATACATAAAGGATAAACAACATCGAAGCTATGACGATTAATTTTCAATATTTCATATGACTATGATTTCATATAGCTATATGATATAGTCGTCCGATTTTGATGAAATTTAATTTGAAACTCAAGACTCATTAAAAAACTCTATATTCCAAAAATCATGATTGTCTGATGAAAAACAACGATGCATCGATCTCTCTTATGGGATCTATACGGTATAGTGGTCCGATCCGGTCCGTTTTGACAGCTACTGCAGGCAATAACAACACAATTTTGGTACAGTTTTAGCAAGTTTCGTTTATAAGGAAACAAACAGGCGCACAGACGTATACAGCTAAAACGATTCTGATGGTGACGCTGATTAAGAATATAAACATCTGACTGCAATTGTAATACCCTTTGCAAGGGTATAAAACCACAAAAATACCCAAAAATATAAAACAATACTGGCTGTCAGTAACAGATACTTTTTTGAATTGTCTAGACTAGTGTATTTACTCTTAATTTCGAAATTTGTTTTAATGAGATTTGGTTTAGTTTATATATACACATTATAATAAAAACATTTTGTTATTCAGCTGGAACCATGCTTTGGTCTACATCTGGTTTAGTATCATCAGGATCCAAGCTTAGGCATTCCGCAAAATATTGCTCCATAGAAGAATACACATGTTCCAGTACACCATTTAGGTCATGACCTTCATCTGCATAGGTCTTAATAAAATCTTTTAATCGAAATTCCATGTTTGGATATTTTATAATTTACCTGGTAACGAAAAAGAATATTGGCGTTAGTAAGCGCTTTAGCTAATTGCACTCCATGGACAAATGGGGCAGTAGTGTCTGCTAAGCCGTGAATTAAAAAGTATGAGTTTGACTTTATTAGCCGTGCCCTCTGAGTTGCATCAGCCTCAACATATCCTTTATAGTTTTCACCAGGAAGGCCCAACACTCGCTCAGTAAAAGCTGAATCTTAAAATAAGTTCGAAAGTTGATTTGTTAACGTATTTTTAAAGTAGAAGTCTAGAAGACGATCTCCAATGAGTTAAACTTAATGTTTTTTCAATCATGACTTATGGTACCCCCCAATACAATTATGAACATTAAGGCAAAACATGAAAATCACGCTTTTTACTTTCAAATGTTGCACAAAACAGAACAAAAAACAAAAAAAAACCTTTTCCTGATTACCTCGAGCAAAAAATTTGTTTGTTTCGGATGATCCGGTAACGAGGTTTAATGTTCACAGCTAAACCACTTTTTCCATGGCGCTTCTGGAGACAGGCTTATTTGTTAATATTTTTCATCGAAGAAATTTTCTAATATACATAATATACATACATAATAGAATAATAACTTTGGACACTGTATGTACGGCAAAGAATAGTTGGTTTGACCACTGTACGAGTTTGTACATTTTTGAATTGCGACACATTGCGCACCCGAAGCGATCAGAACTTGCTCTGCTTTGAATATGGAAAATCTAGGGCCTCCTCCGACACATACTTCAAAAGCTATACAATAATATGTCATTAAATTTAATAAAATTATGTTATGTCGCCACAAAAGAAACACAACTATGTTCTTTTTTGCGTTTGAAACCCTTGAAGACCGACTTCTATACTATATTTAAAGGTTATTTTTTTCTTACTATAATAAAGCCAATCAGCAATAGGAGAAATTGCAATTCCACATTTAAATACATCCTGTTGTGTGCCGAGAACCATCGTAGTAACATAGCCACCATAGCCCCAACCCCACATACCAACCCTTGTTTCATCCAGGAAGCCTATAGTATCAAGCAAATACCTAATACAAAATGTTTAGTTTTTTTCTTAAAAAAAATTATTTTAAGTACTTACCTCAACACAGATATTTGATCCAATACTTCTACTCCTCCTAAATGACGATATAGCGTTTTTTTACTTTGTCCCTTCGACCCTCTTACATCTAGGCGAACGTATACCACATCGTTTCGAGATGACATGTATGTACCCCAGTCTATTTTAAACTTCTCGGAAATCGATTCTGAACCGGGGCGGCCATTTCTGAAAGAGTATATAGATTTTGCTTATCACCTTTTAACATAAAAGTAATTCAATCTTTTGGGTAGTTTTAACAGTATCAGTGATGATTTCGTTCGCTGTTAAATGTCAGAATAAATCAAAATCAAGAAAAATTAACCGAGGTTGCCAACAGCCCATAAACCACATCAAACTGTGTGTTTTCAGGATGCATCGGCTAATCATGTAAAGCACCGGGCTAAAAACTATAGTTTTGCTTGTTTACGCATCTGTCGAGCCAGATATGAGCCCCATAGCTAAACAAAATTTCATGATGAAACAGCTCAATTTCATTGAGCTTTTTCAAATCCCATTAGACGTTGTAGTAGGTCATTCGGATTTAAATCTGACAGCAGTTTAATTTTATAGGTCTTTATGTCCAAATCGATTCGAAAAACTTTCCATAAAATTGAGTAACAAAACCGCAATCGCTGAGAACGGCGACGAGAACAAATTGTATGTATGAAGATCATATATACAGGGGGCATGGCGATGTTATTCAAACTTACGCGATTCGCTGATTTCGCAAAAATAATCTGTGCATGGCATACATGGAAACGGCTTAGCAACGGCTTCGGTGCGGTTTTTGGTATTGGAAAGTTTTTAAAAAGCCATTTTAAAGGTTTTGTTTAAGTAAGAACTATTTAGAAAGGATAGTTATTTATATTGATGTCGCATTTATTAAACTTCTAAATATGAAACATTATTAAATACAAATTTATTTGTCATATATATACGTATTTGTACTCCTAAGTCTGCTTTGGGCAAAGGTAATAATTGTTTATACTATAAAAAGAAAAAGTCTTTTCGTTTACCTCACTTAAGCCAACTTGCTTTGGTTTAAAAAAACAATTGCAGGCTTTTTGATCGCAATTGCATTTTGGCACAAATAACATCTTAAAACGCTTGGTTTGGCTTGATATCATATCATCAAAGAAGTAACATATTGTTCACATAGCATTATAAAATAATTATTTAGGTACAGCTCCCAGTCCTAGTTGCTTTTCTTGGGTAAATGCATTCGAGCACGGTATGCCGATTTTTCCAGTGCTGGCAAGATGCCTGATCCCGACAACATTTCATTCCCTCCTCGAAAACAAATAAAAAAGAAAGTGACGATTTCCAGCTTAAGAAATTTCTTATTTCTTATATATTCTTATATATTTATATTCTTATTCTCCTTCCTTTTTACTTCTGTTAGTCCGGGGTCATTTCAGCAGGAATTAATAGCCCTTTTTTTCAGTAAAAAAGTAAAAAGTGTATATTTATTATTTAACGGGTATACTGCTACCTATGTGGCAGCTTGAGCAGGTTTTAAATATAGATGTTAACAAAGGGATGGTACAAGATTATACATTAATTCTATTCGTGTGTAGTTTAATTAGATCAGTCTTCGAGGGTATTAAATATGTCTTAATGGAAGGTCATGTGGGTGGAATCTTTTATATCTTCTTCTTCTTGGTCTCCTAATTAGCCTCTTCGCCAGGGAGTTAGGATGCGAGTGTTCGACAAACATCGCCAATCTTTGGGATTTTGAGATCTCTTTCTATATCTCTGGTTCTCATGAACCAGGGGGCATTACAAATCGATCTCACAATCTTGCTGTGCGCTATTCGTATTTTGTTTAGGTTCGACTTAGACGCTATGCCATATACTTGTAATGCATATTTCCAGATTGGACTGAAAATCGATTTGTAAATGCTAACTTTGTTCGACAAGGAGAGCTTATTTTTTTGCGAAAGTAGCCAGGACATACTTGCTGCCTTTGAAAGCACTGCCTGCTTGATCATTGTGGTGTGCCTCTGGAAGTCCTCTCTCCAAAATCACACCAAGGTACTTGTAGTAGTGCTCGTCACGAAGTACAGAACCGAGCATTGAAATGCCTGGGCAGTTCTTTGGCCTTGTGACACAATCACATTTGTTGCAATTTATGCCTATATTCCAATCAGTTGTCCATTTTTCAAAACGTGATACGTACTCCTGCAAGTCCAAGGTTGCAATGTCTATACTTGGACTCCTGACCATAACCGCTGTGTCGTCGGCGTATGATGCGATGAGTATGTCTTCATCGTCAACTTCAGTACATCCCCAGGAATCTGGCATATCTAACGTATACAGCGAGTAAAGTTTAGGGCCTAGTACACTGCCCTGAGGTACACCAGCTGAGATTGGGCGTTTTGACGACTTTTCGCCTTCGACAACAACACTGAATGTCCTATCCGAAAGGAAGCTTTGAATAAGGAGGAAAAGCTGTGGCGTCGTGCCATACCCTATCAAAAGCTTGTTGGATGTCCATAAACACAGCAACTGTGTACATTTTGCTTTCCATGGCTTCCAAAGCGAAATTGACCACGCGATTAAACTGTTCAGGGGTGCCGTGACTTTTTCGAAAACCAAACTGCCACTTTGGAATAGCTCTACTTACATTTTCAAGTCTAAGGATCCGATCCAGTATTACTCTTTCCATCATTTTGCCCAATGCAGGTAAAAGACTTATTGGCCTGTATGCATCAACTTCGGTGGGTGGCTTTCCAGGCTTGGGGATCATCGTGATAATAGCACTCTTCCATGTCCTTGGGTAATGACTCAGCTTTAAGACTCTGTTGAACAACAGGACTATAAAAAGCAGAGCTTTGGTGGAAAGGATCTTTAGCGTTTTGTTGTTTATACGGTCCTCGCCTGGGGCTTTTTTATTTTTGAGCTTTCTGATCTGCGTCACAACTTCTTGTAGGGTAACAGGCCTTGTGGGAAGAGCCTTTTGAAAAGGCCTATCCAGTCGCATTTGCACAAGCATTCGATTTTCCATAGTAGTTAGGTTAAACGGCTTTAATCTGCTCTCTAAATTGTCAGCAAATATATCAGCCTTCTGCTGACTGGACCGACACCAACCACCAGCGGGATTTCTTATAGGAGCCTTTGGTGTAACAAGCCTCTTGAATCGGTTCGTCAGCTTCCATAGCGAGTAGTTGGTCGATGCATCTGCCGACAACTGTAGGCGCGCTCTTGCGCCAAAAGCTGTTGTGCTTATAAAAGACAAATTTGGATCCTATCAACATATAATCAATAATCGGACTCGGGGAGTCCGGGGATTCTCGTATTTACAATAACCATATCCATTACTGAAAGTCAGCCTGAAATGAAATTTTTCCTGAATTTTTTTTGCTATAAACCTCACTGAGCCCGCGACCTTTCCAACAAATGCAAAACCGTGGAAATCGGTTGGTGCGTTATGGAGTCAGGAAGGAAAAACGTACTTATTTTTATATAGTAGTTATATATAGCAGCCATAGGAATTACATCGAAAAAAAATAATTCGTTGGTTTTAGCAACCTCTCCAATCAAATATTTGGTGTTTTGCCGGCTCAAGGTCTGGGTGATATTAAAAAGCAAAATTTATGTTTTTTAATCCAATATATTTCGGTTGCTCCTCGGCAACCTTCTTCAGGGCAACTAAACAAAAACAAAAAACAATCAACATCAAAATACAATTTTTTTACAATTTAAATATTCACATACAGGTTGGGCCATTTAAAGTTGACCCACTTGAGTCTTAAAACAAAAACAAAAAAAGTGGACAATTTTTTTTTTATTCCAAAAATCATTTATTTTGGTCCAAGGAGATTTTTTACAAATTATTATTAAAAATGATATCACGTAAATGGGCACCTTTAGCTCTGACAGCCGAATGCATTCTTTTTTCAACATTTTCCATGACTTTGGTCAATGTTTCAGACGATATGGCGGCTATTTCACGTCTAATATTGTCTTTTAGTTGACTTAAGGTTTTTGGTTTATTAGCGTATACCTTGGATTTCAAATAACCCCACAAATAAAAGTCTGGTGCCTTCAAATCTGGTGATGTTGGGGGCCAGTCAAAATCACCACTTTTCGATATCAACCGCCCAGGGAACAAGGTTCGCAATAAATCAATTGTTGCTCTAGCTGTATGGCAAGTTGCCCCGTCCTGTTGAAACCAGAAGTTATCCATGACATTTTCACGAATAATAGGCATCAGAAATTCGGTTATCATTGCTCGATAACGCTCACCATCGACGGTTATCGTGGCTCCATCATTGTCTTCGAAAAAATACGGTCCGATGATCATATTCGCGCAAATACCGCATGACTGGCATTACTTAGATTACCGGTGTTTACAAATTTTGCGTACAAAGACTTAATTGTGTTTTTTACTGGAGCACTTCTAACTTTATTCATTTTACGAAACGCACGTTGGGTTAACACAATTGAGAATTTATTTTCAATGTAGAGCTGAACAATTTGAGCGCGTTCCTTTGGAGTGTATTGTTCCATGGTATCAATTGCACTGTGCGACAAAATTTGACAAAATCTTTGTTTAAGTTACTTTTTTGATTGTTTTCGGTTAAGGTGCATAAGTTATGCACAAAAATATTTATGCCACCTTCTAAGTGATAGGATTTCTTTTTTATGATAAATTTTATGAAATTATTATTATGAAAATATTTAACACAAAATATTTTTTTTTTTTACTTCTTTTTTTAAAAGTGAAATTTTTTTCTGATTTTTTTTGGCTTTTTCAGAGGTATCCTCGCGTAACAAGTTCCATACGTAGTCGCCCAGAGTATAGAGCTGGGAGAAAAAATTTTAAAGCATTGTTATAAAAGCCTAACGGTATATTTGCTTAATACATTTTAATTAATAGATATTGAACTTGCATTCACGCTTATAACGGTGAAAAAATATTTTCCCAATATGTGATTATAAGGCTGTGAAATATGCAAAAACACGCGTTTTTGGGACATTTGAGTGTGCGTAGAAGCTGATTGGCTATTGATATTAACAAATCCACAAACTTGTATTCTTATTTTGATTAGTAGAAGTGAAAAATAAGAAAAAATCAACTTAAACATTTTTTTGTCGCACAGTGTTGTCTTCGACTGACGCTTCCAACGTGGTATGACATTTGACGATCTGTCGACGCTGTCAGAAGTTACAGGGTTGCCAAA